CTCTGTCTAGGACCTACCCGCTCGCCCACTGCAGTCACGTTGATTCCAACTGTAGCAGCCCATCGGGCCATAGACCTGACAGCACCATGGGGTTTGCAAGGCTGTAAAGCTCTACGGATGAGACTGCTGCCTCTTCCTCCTGCAGAGAAGCTGGTGGGTTTGAACTGCCAACCTCTTGTTCCACAGGGCTCCATGTGGGCCCTAGATTTCCCAGGGATGGGCTGGCTGGCAGAAGAGCACATGCGCCTCATTTGGATTGCAGGTCACTCCGTTCATCCCCAGGGATGGGAGGAGGGGGAGGTAATCCTTCTAATGCCTGGCTGCTCTTAAAGGGATTGGCTAAATTTACAGCTACTAATACCATTTGTCACTGGGCTGTGAGAAAGGATGCTGAGACAGGCTGGGGCTGTTCCAGCCTGTTCGAGGTACACAGATGTCAATTTTGTTTCCCCCTCTCCCCTGGAGCCCCACAGGTAGCCCCCTAGCTAAGCTCAAGGGCATGTGGGCTCAGAGGCATGCAGGCCAGATGCAGCAAGGTGTCAGTAGAAGCACCCTGCCGCTTTTCTGAAGAAGCCACACAGCTCTGAGTGGTGAATATCCGTGGAAGGTGTGTGTGTCGGCCAGGGTGGGGCAAACACAGGTGTGGAGAAAGGTGTCTTTTATCAAAGAATCGTGAGTTCTTTTTCTCTCTTGGCCTTAAAAACAGCCAGCCATGCTCACTTGGCTACAGTGACAAGCCTGGATTATGGTTATCTGCACAGAGGGTGGGATATCCTGAACCCCCAACCTCCACACTACCTCCCACAGGAGCGAGGATGGAGCTCCTTCACCCACAGATGTTGGGGCACCAGGTAGAAATTCTCCATCACCACCTCTTCAGTTCTGACTCATGGCAGCCCACGCGTGTGAGGGGAGAAGTGTGATTTCTCAGAAGGGGACCACCAGGCCTTTCTTCTGAGGCACCTCTGGGTGGACCTGACCTAGTCTGGTAGTGAATGATCTAGTGCTATAACAGCTTGCACCACCAAGCGGCTCCTTCCCCTTGGCCCTTAACCTTCACCAGACTCAGATCAAGTGGATTCCGACCCATACCAAGCCAGAAGGGCAGAGCAGACCTGCCCCGCAGGCCTTCCAAGGCTGCGAGTCTTCATAGAGACAGGTCGTCACGTATTTCTCCAGCAGAGGGCCAGGTGGGTTTGAATAGCTCGCCTTCTTGTTATTAGCCAGAGTGAAACCACTGCACCACGAGGACTCTTGTATAAAACTCCTTGCCATCCACTCAGAGTCTTCCTGGCAGGTTTCCCCAAAGGTCTCAGCCTTGCACTCCGTGTCCTGCTGTCCGCTCTTCTCTTACGTCCTTTTCTGCTGAACCCCTGTCATCCCCTTCACTTTCTCTGATAATTTAAACACAAGCTCCTCTTCTCTTGTTCGCGCTGCTTAGCCAGCAGGCCCGCTGTTTGGGGATTTCCCAGGCAGATCGTTCTGGGAACTAGAAACTGAGCCAGAAGAATCCAGAGTGAGGGCAGGTAGAGGTGACAAGGGTGCGCTGACAGCTGTTGTTCCACAGCTGGAGAACTCTCTGCCCCTCACTCTCCTTCAAGGGGGTGGCGGGGGCTCAGGGGCAGAGGCCCATGCACCTCCTCCTGCTGTCCGCCTCCTCTTGTCAGGAGAGAGACCATCCAGCACATCTTGCTTAGAATCTTCACCCTTGATCCCCACAGTGGTCAAGCCCAGACCAACCCCTTGGTCATCCAGTAGATAGATTTCAGCTCATGGCGCCCTATAAGGCTGTAAATCTTTATGCAAGCAGATTGCCTCAGACTTCTTCCGGAAGTGACTAGTGGATTCAGATCACTGGTGTTTCTGTTATCAGCCCAGTGGTTGACCCACTGTTTAATCATCAGGGGCACTGAGATCTTGAGCGGGACTCCTGGAACCTAGAGGCAGTGTGTAAACCTGATTCCTCCAGGGACGCAGAGCCCAGGCCGAGGGTTTGTTTGAAGACAGGTCCTTAGGGGACATATTTGGATGCAGGAGTGTCTAGAAGGCGGGGAAGCCACAGGTGGGGTGATTGGGCTCTGCAGGCCACCCGGCCTCATCCAGTGGGACTCACTGAGGGGTCATGTGAAATGTGCCTCAGAGCCGTCACCTGAGAGACCAGAATTGGTTGCTGTTGCGATGACAATACTTCAGAGCACCCCCCCCCCCGACCCCGATTGTCAGAGTACAGGTAGTTGCATGGGACAAAACAACCCATCTTTGTCCCATGGAGCAGGTGATGGATTTAAATTATGTACTCCTTTTTTTTTCAAATAAGTATTTGAAAATGTTTTAAATATAATACTTTTAAAGAAAACTTTATTCTGGGAGCTCTGGTGGCCTAGTGGCAAGAAGCTGTACTGCAATCTCAGAAGTGTGTGGCTCGAATCCACCAGATGCTCTGCTGGAGAAGGAGGGTCAGTCTCCTCCTGTACCAGTCAGATATGATTTGACGGTACATGCACAAAAAATAATAAATTTTTTTAAAAAGAAAATTTTATTCTGATTTATTTACAAAATTTTGAACACACTGTTTTTCGCAAAAAATCTTTCCCATTTCCTTCACCCCACCCACCCATCAAATTGTGCAATTCTATGATTAACATCCTGTTCCCCCATCCTCACCTGTCTAGTTCCATTCTCCCCCCCCCCCACCTTGGGTCCTCATACTCATTCTACAATAATGGTTTATACAGTATTTGTCCTTGTGGGACTGAGTTATGAACTACGTACCTTTGTGGTTCGTGGTTGACAGCACAGCCCCTAACCACTAAGCCACCAGAGGTTGAAGCTCACTCAGAGGTAACTCAGAACAAAGGTCTAGTGATTTCCTGTCAAAAAAACCAGCCACATAGGGTTCTTGTAGCTGGTTTTTCAGCAGGAGGTCACCAGGCCTTACTTCCGAGTTGCCTCTGCCTTTCTAACCTTTTGATTAGCACCTGAATGTCCAACCTGGACTTCCTAATCCAGAGTTGTTCCCCAGGATGTTAATTTCCTCTGCTTCTGGGTGCAGGTAGAGATGTCAGTTCCTCCCACTTCCAGGTGTGGGTGTCCAAGTGCCAGGTGGGCCCTGTGGGTATCTCGTGACCTGTCAGAGGAGCCCTGGGCAGAGGCACCCAGGGCAGCCGAGGTGAGGTGCTGTCAGGTTACATAGTGTGGATCCGATAGGATGGCAGACAGTAGGGGAGGAGGTGGGCTGAGGGGATGTGAGGACACGAGCAGCATCCAGGAAGGCAGCCAGTGAGGGGAGGCCTCTTGGTTTTGTGTGTTGATTTAGATATCAGTACCGTCCCTCTGTGTGCCAGCATGAGTAAGGGGTGACCCCTCCAGAACTGCTCTATGAGCCCTGAGAGACCCCTGTGTGCATTAGAGCGCCGACAGACCAGGACAGAGGCTGAGCCAAGCACTCAGTCCGCCTAGAATCTGTTCCAGGTCGAGTTCCTGTCAAACCCAGTCCTCTGACTGCACCTGGCAGGTGTGTTGGGAACCCTCGATAAGGTCGAAGTCTTCGAGGAATACAGAGTGTGACTGTGGGCACTGGCTTTTCCTTCCAGCCTCCTGTGGACATTGTCCTTATCGAATCCATCTCACCGAGGCTGCCTGCGCAGGGCCCGGCGCTCGGAGCTCACAGGCCACTGGAGAGATAAGCAGCTGACACAGCACAGAAAGATAGCTGCTCCTTGGGGGTGCACTGGAGAGACTGGGACGGGGTGGCTGAAGGCCTGGATGGGAAGGGGACCCAGGCTAGGACTGGAGAAGAGGTAATGGGTATAGACGAAGTTGTAGCTCAAATTGTGCAGACCTGGAGTTCTGTTGTGTGAACTTGGGCAAGTTACTTAATCTCTCAGAGCCTGTTTTCTAAGGCGTACATTCATACCTGCTTGTTATCAGGGTTAAGTAGGTTTGGATGTCTCAAGCAGACAGTAGTGCCTGGCATGTGATAGTGGTTCTGTAAACTTGAACTTTTCATATCCATAGGTCAACACTGATGAATCCTTTGCCTATTAAACCAATTGTTGTCTGTTGTTACATACCACTGAGATGAAAGTAACTCGTAGCTGATCCTCCAGCAGGCTGTCGGAGGCTGTAAAACTGCACTGGAGAAAATGGTCCATTTTTCTCCCAAGGAGCAGCTGGTGGATTTGAACCTCGAGCCTTTGGGTTGGCAGGGCAGCTCCTTAACCACCAAGTCATCCAGAGCTCCCCTGATTGCCATCTAGGCAACGCCAACTCATTATATCCCGAGGTTAGGGGCCCCGGTGAAGCAGTTGGTTACAGTCAGAAGTTAAAGCTTAGTACCTGTGAGGCCACCAGAGCTCAAATCCGAAGTCCAGCCTGGTGTGTTGCAAGGCTGAAATCAAAGTGGAAGCCAGACAGGCCTCTTGCCTGGAGCTGCAGGCAGGCACCTGCTGCCACCTTCATTGATGGTGGCTGCAGAATTTACTTTCTGGCAGTTGAAGGCCTGATGCTCTAGCCTCCGTGTTGGCTGGTGGGGAGGGATTGCCTTGCGCACATTCCTTGTCACGTGGTCCCCTCAGTCTCCAAAACCAGCAGCAGTGCTGGAATCTTTCTCGTGCTTCGAGTCTCCGACTTCCTCCCTCCTTGACCCCTCAGCCCAGGTTTTCAGAATTCATGTGAGGCGCACATGCATGATCTCGTCTTAGTACACCTTATTAATGCCTGTCATTACTGTGCTGGTCGTTGGGGCAAGTTCAGATCCCTCCATTCTTTGGGCTTCAGGTTTCCTCCGTTTACAGTGAAAATTTCCACATAGTCTTTAAGGTTGAGCTGGCATCTCACCCACTGCTCACAGTTGTTGGAAGAACCAATGAATGGAAACAAAATACTTTCGGGGCAGGAAGTGGATCCCATGCAGGGTACCCTGAACTAGCCCCAGCAGCGTCTCATGGAGCTTGTCTGTTCTCCTCCTCCAGACCCATCTCAGGCCCCGAGCTGTAGTCATGGAAAACTCCTCGGCAGCGTCGGCCTCCTCTGAGGCTGGGAGCAGCCGCTCCCAGGAGATTGAAGAGCTGGAGCGATTCATTGACAGCTATGTGCTGGAGTACCAGGTTCAGGGGCTGCTGGCCGACAAGACGGAGGGAGATGGTGAGAGTGAGAAGACGCAGTCCCACATTTCCCAGGTGAGGCCTGGCCCTGGTGGAGGGAGAGGGTCCAGGGAGGGCAGGGGGTCCTGATTTCGTGCACCCATGCCATTCTACATCGCAGGGAGTGGATGAGCCCTCCAGCAGATCACCTGGAGTCCTGGAGGTGAGGCTTTGGGGTCCAGGCAGGAGGCGTCCCTAACTGTGTACAGTTGACCCTGTGACTCAACTCTCCCCCTTCCTCCCCCAGTGGACACCCGGCCGGATGCACAACTCTCTGAGCACATGTCATGTAGCTACACAGACTTGAGGATGGTCTCCAGCCTGAGAAAGACTAGAAAGAAAGGCCTGGTGATCCACTTCTGAGAAATAGACCAATGAAAGAAACCTTATGGATCCAGCCCCGTGTGCATGGGGCCAATGGGGATTGATTCACTGGCAGCCAATAACAGTAACAACTTTGTGTCAGACACGATTCCCTGTTATCGACTGGCTTCTGCTCCAGAGGAGAGCGTGAACTTACCCATAATGCACACAGTCAAAAAGCCATATGACTGACTGACCTCTGTCTTCACATGCAGGCAGGTGTTGGCCCTCAAAACACCTCACCCAGAGCTCGGTATTCTATTCCAGGTGTAGGTAGATGAGTGAGGCATTCTGGCTGCCACCTCAGGTGTGCCCTGCCTCCCTCCACCCCAGGGTCTGTCTTTGGCATCACTGGGAATGAGGGGTAAAAAAGAGGGGGAAGCTGGTGGGCTGGTGGTTCCCTGTAAGAAGGGGAGTGTGAACATCTCCTCTGATGATGTGCATTATTATTTGCATAATTTCATTTCTTGATTTAAGCTCCCCTTATTGCGCAGTTAAGGAGCTCTGGTGGCTTAGCGTTTTAGCAGTTGTATAACTGAAAGGTTGACAGTTCAAGTTCACCAACAGTTCTGTAGGAGAACGATGGGTAGGCAGTCCCCTGTAAGGATTTAAGCCTCAGAAACCTGGTGGAGTGTTGATGTGAGTCAGAATTGGATCTGAGGGGTTTTTTTTAATTATTATTTTTTTTAAAACATCTTTTTTTAAAAATTTTTTATTTTTATTATTTTGTGTGTGTGTGTGTACCGTCAAATCAGATCTGACTGGTACAGGAGATTTTTCATCCTTCTCCAGCAGAGCATCTGGTGGATTCAAACCGCGTACCTCTAGGATTGCAGTGCAGCTTCTTGCCACTAGGCCACCAGAGCTCCCCTGGATTTGAGTTTTGGTCTCTTGTGCAGATAGCATGACTGGAGTTTAGGGGCGGTCAGGATACTCTGGAAAATTCTGAGGCTGATTAAACTTGAGTTGTTTTCAAGGACTGTGTGAACCTGCTCCTGCAATTACCCGTGAACATCTGAGAGCTGGCAGTGGACAGGCGCATACCCTGGTCCCAGAGGAAATTCCTTCTGATGAGAGGAAGGTTTCAGGAAGCTGCAAAAGGAGGCTGGAGGAATGCTTCCCGGATGGTCGAGTTACTGTCTGTTTAGCAGCCATGGGGCAGGCATGCAGTGGTGGGGGATTTTGGAAGTTTCCCATCTTAGCTGTAAGGAGCGCCCTGATTTCACATCCTCCAAGCCATAATTGTGTGTTCTTTTGGCAGTCCATGACATAGTCAACACTCATGTCAGCACCACAGTTCAAAGCCACCAAGTCTTCTTCGGTCTTCCTTCGTTTTAATAGTGCTTGCTATTTTAATGTTAATGGATTTTGCCAAATTGCTCTCCAGGATAGCTGTTCCATAATTCATGCCACCACCCATGTGTTGGGACAAACAGTCACTTGTCAGTGTAGTTTGGATTTCCTTTAATTCTTTAAATGTTTTTTTGAACACTTCTTAATCTAATTGCCAGTTAGTTATTTTTTCCAGTAGCTTAAAATCTTCATTTAAAAGCAACAGTTGGAAAAATAGAAATGATTAGAAAACAAAGGGGGGGGGGAAATCCACCTTCCCCTTATGACAAGAACCAATTTCAGGTTTTTTATACTGCATCATCTTTACTCAGACACCTTTTATAAAGTTATACTTAAAGCATCTATGTTCTTTTTCAGCCTGCTTTCTCATTTTGTAGTATGTCCTAGAACTGGGGGTCTAGGCATAAAATGTACTTGTTGAAATCTGTTCTTTTTCTGCCAGTTACTGTTAACTTAATAATGAAAGAGAATTAGATTTGCAGGTATTGACTTGAATGCTGTTCTAGACTCTGGAAAAATCATAGAACCAGTCATGATCCTGTTCCTCCTTGAAATGAGCATTGTTGTTGGGAGGTACTGTCGAGTCACCTGGGACTTGCAGCGACCTTGTGAAGAGCGGATCTAACTCTCGGCCTGTCTATCCTGTGCTATCCTCACCATCTCTAATATCCTGAGCCCATTGTCGTTACTATGTCAATCCGTCTCTTTGAGACTCTTCCTCTCTTACACTGACCTTTTCCAAACATGATGTCCTTCAAGGACCAGCTTCTCCTAACAATATGCCCCACATATATGAAACAAACTTCACCATCCTTGCCTCCCAGGAGCACCTTGGTGCCTTTTCTCCAAGTCATATTTGTTTGTTTGGTTTGTTGTTGTTTTCATTCCGCAGAATATTCAGTATTCTTCTCCAACACCACAACTCAAAGGCTTTGATTATTCTTCTGTCATTCTTATTTATTGTCCAACTTCCAGATGCATAACAAGTAATTGAGAAGACTATGGATGTTGCCTTGATCTTGAACTTGACGTCAGTGCTCCTTGACACCTTGAGGAGTTCCTTGACAACAGATTTACTCACTGCACTATGTCTTTCGGTTTCTTGAGTGTTGGTGCCAAGGATGTTGACTGTGGATCAAGTAAGATGTAATAGTTGACAATTTCAGTCTTTTCGCCACCTATCGTGATGCTGAGTATTGGCCCAATGGTGGAGATTTTTGTCTTCTTGGTGTTAGTGTTGTCATTGCTGTTATGTACTGTTTTAAGTCAGAACCAAGTCATAACTGACCCTCCAGTAGTTTCTCAGAGACAGTAAATTGCATGAGATAAGATTGTCCATCTTTCTCCCATGGAGCATCGATGGATTCGAACCATGTGCTTTTGGCTTGGCAGCACAACGCTTTACACTAAGCTACCAAAGTGCTTAGATATTAGTATGATATCATCAACCAGAACTTTATATCTATTTTATCTGTTTTCCCCACTGATTTTTTTTCCTGTTCTAAAATCCAATTTTTGTTTTATCATATCTCTTGTTCTGTGATACTCTCCTATTCTATGGTATTTTCTTGATCTTTTTTTGTCTTTAATAATCATGATGTGTTTGAAGGGCTCTTTAGTTATTTTGTTGTTAATATTAGGTGTTTCGAGTTGGCTCTGGCTCCTAGTAACTCCATGTACAACAGAAAGACACACTTCCCAATCCCGCTCCATACTGTGTTAACTAAGCAGCCATTGAATCACCTCATCGTTTATTTGAGGATCTTCTTTTGTTAAATGTCCTTCAATTTGTGTTGTCTGATGGCTTCTCTGGCGGCATAGTCCATAGGGACTTGCACTGCTACCCCTAAGGTGTCGCCTCTCGGATTGTTCGAATCTACTACCAGTGACTTTGTACAGGAAAGATTGGCAGTCTTTTCTCGTGTGATTTACAGCCTCCTGAAAACTGGCTGGAGAGTCAGCCATCCAACTGGTTGACTTGAGTTGGTTCAGACTCAAAGGCCGTGAGAGATACTGCCTCATGGTTCGTTATGGTTAGTGCAAAGGGTGAATGTGCTTATGTGCTAATTGAAAGGTTGGCAGTTCAGGCTCCCAGAGGTACTTCAGAAGAAAAGCTGACCATCTACTTATGGAAAATTAGCCGTAGGAAACCTGTGGAGCACAGTTCCACTCTGACACACGTGGGGTTGCCAGCAGGTGTGAAATGCCACCTTTGCCATTTCTCTGGCTGGTGTTGTGTTTTATGCTTTGTTGGTAAAATTGGCCTAGATGGGCTGTCCTTTCCAGTATACCACAACTAGGGAAATACCTGATATATTGGGTTAAATAAAACACACCGTTAACATGGATTCATCTGGGTTTTTTTTTCTTTTCACCTTTTAAAAATCTGGCTACTAGATAATTTTAAATTATGTATGTGGCTTGTGTTTGTGATTCTCATTTTATTTCAGATAGACAGCACTACTCTAGGGTACACTGTGCCCAGCCTGTGTCCGTGGCACAACTGAAACTTCTCTCCAGTATGAAAGTCATGCCCGTTAGGGAGAGTCTCCAGCCAGGGTTATGCACAACCAAGCCCTCAATGGCCTGGAGCCACCAGATTTGACCATGTGCACCTGAATATTCAGAGCCTGATCTCTCTCTGCTTCTCATCTATCATGTAAAGTGTAGGTTAAGGTCGGTGTTCATAACATTAGATTGAAAGACTTAAAAAGGAAAAAGAAAAAAGAAAGACTAGGTAGCATTTGACACAGTGATGAGAATACCATCATATCTGTAGATTTGATCCACACGATGTTTTCTACTTTGTAGACTCACACAACATTGCTGGTCTCATTTTATAGATGAGGAGATGTGGCCCAGAAGGCATGAATGTTTCAGGGACTCTCAAACTCCCAGCATCTCTCCTGGGAAGCATTTCAAAATGAGGATACTGTCTAAATCAGTCCCATAGGACAAATATAAGACCGTTACTGTAGAAACAGAAAGATAACTAGTAAAACATGTATTAGGATCCAAGGGAGGAAAGGTGGGAGCAGAGGGGTGAGCCTGGGCAGGGGGTAATCAGAGGGTCATACGATATGATGGGTGGAGGGAGGGGTGGGTAAAGGAAATGGGAAAGATCTGGTGTGTAAAACAGTGTATATGACAAGAGTCCACAATTAAGGTTGCATAGTGGAATGTACTTGGGGCGGTGGGAGGGGTGCGGGGGGTGGGGATTGTGTACCAGGGAGGGAGTTTTTCTTTTACTTTTCAGAGAGGAGTGAACTGGGGGAGGAGGGCGGAGGGCTGGGCGGGGAGAGAAGTGCAGCAATGAATGAATGGAAATCCAAAATCTCATTAAATGTTCATTAAACTGTTCATTAAAATGTTCATTAAAATTATTAAAATAAAAAAAAGAAAGGAAACAAAAAAGGGGGGAAAACAGTATATATGAACTTTGTATGTAAACTAGTATAACATAAAAATTTTATTTAAAAACAAAAAAACAGATGCTCAGAGGATCTAAGTTGGTGGGTTGGAGTGGGTAGACTTTGGGGAGAGTCTCAATCTGAGAATCTTTGGGGAATACTAGCCCTCTGAATACTCAGAGATGGCTGCAGGGACCGCACTGGAGCCTGGCTCCTGACTCCTCTTCTGGAGCTCTTCCTCAATGCCAGGCAGCCCTGACAAACCACAGTCAATGTCCTTCAGAGCTGGTTTACAGGAAGATGCACTAACGCCCCCTCCCAGCTCATCCCGCATCCCTTAGTATGGTTGGGGGCTCATGTGGCTCAAATGAAGCGCACAGCTTCTAACTGGAGAGGTGCCTTGGAAGAAAGGCCTGACACCTGCTTCTTTGAAAAACCTGTGGACACCATCTACTCTGACACACACAGGGTCCCCATGAGTAGGAACTGACTTGATAGCAACTGGTTTAGTCTGGCTGAAGCTCAATCAGGTGCCCAAACATGATGCTGAGTGTGCAAACTTCAGAATGACCCTCTCTCCTGTCTGGTTGACTCTGGACTGTAACTGGTTGGGCTATGTTGGGCTCAGGGGAAGAGAAATGCGTTTGTTCTCTCTGTCCTATGGAGTTGATTCCTGTTCACTGTGATCCCGGATGACAGGGCAGAACGGATGCCAGGTCTTCTTCCATGAAGTCACTGTGGGTTCAAACTTTCTACTCTTGGTTAGAAGCAGAGATGCTTAACCCTTGCACCACCACCAGGCTCCTCTAGTCGCCGCTGAAGACCACCTTGATTGGAGCTTGGAGATGACAGCATGGGGAGATGACAGTGTGGGAGAGGGAATTTGCTGTTAAAAATAGCTGAATAGGGCTTTCAGTGTCAGAGCCAGCTGGACTGTGGAGACCAGGCACACTGCAGACTGGCAGAGTGTGGACAGCCTGCATGTCCTGCCACCGCTGACCTCTCCTTTTCTCCCACAGTGGACGGCGGACTGCAGTGAGCAGCTGGATGGCGGTTGTTCCTTCTCCCGAGGACGAGCACCCCCACAGCAGGTAGGGAGCCAGCGCTGCCTTCCACCTGGGCTAAGTGGTGCCACCTGCTCCTTTGGCTTCCTGGGCCAGCACCTGGTGGCTCTCCTGAGGGGTGGTGATATTGAAAGGGCAGGTAAATGGACAAGGGAGTGTGACCTGACACCCCCACCCTGAGACGCATTCCCTCATCTGGGCACATGGATCCACTGGATTTCTTTCCAGCAGCATTGTTATTTATGATAGCAAAATTCTGGAAACAACCCAAGAGTCCATGAGCTGAGAACGGAGAAAGAGTCTGTGATAGATCCTCACAGTGGAATATTATACAGCAGTGTAATAAGTCATGGAAGGGCTTCTTACCAGCATTTATCCTCTCACAAGCAATCAGAACTGTAGGATTTAAAACAAATTTTAAATTAATTTTTCAAATTAATCAAGTTAAATTAAATTAAGTTTTCAAATTAATTTCTTAAAAAGACTTTATTTTTTCATAAAACCTTCAAATTTACAGAAAAGTTGTCCAGAAAGTACAATGTTCCCAGATAACCACCCCCCTCCCAGTTTTCCATCTTAGGAACATCTTGCATGTTTGTGGAACATTTTTGCATGGAACATTTGCTACACTCGATGAACCAGGACTGCTGCATTACTACCCACTGACATCCAGAGTTTCCATCAGGGTTGCAGAGTTCTGAAGGTTTTAGTAAATGCATGCCGTCTTGTGTTTACCATTACAGTAACACCCAGAATACCTTCACTGCTGCATGTGCCCTGGGCTCCAGCAATTCAGCTTCTCTTCCCCTGAACTGGCAACCATTGGTCTTTCCCAGGATAACGTAGGAGGTCATCCATCTTTTTCATACCCCTAGATCAGGAGACTGTATTGCACTGGGAAAGTCTGGAGTCAGGTACCTCTCCAGATTATTGAGGAGTAATGATGTCAGTTTAAGGACTAAGGTGCACCTGATTTAGGCCATGGTTTTTTCAGTCACTTGCTATGCCTAGGATTACAGAAGAAGAATTGAGGCCTTTGGGTTGAGGTATTGGAGAAGAGTGCTGACGATCCCATGGACTTCCAAAAGAACCCACAGATATGTCTTGGAGAGGGTACAGGCAGAGTGCAAAGATGGAGCTAAGTTGATGAGGCGTCGTCTCACATACTCTGGGCATGTTGCTAGTAGAGGCTATTCCTTGGGGAGGGACGTCATGCTTGGGAAGGTGAAGGGACAGCATAAGAAAGGAAGACTAGGTGGGTTGACACAGTGACGGCAGCAACGGGCATGAGTGTGTCAGAGATTGTGAAGTCGCACAGGATAGGACAGTGTTCAGATCGGTTGTTCAGTTGCTACGACTTGTACTTGACTCAGCAGTACCTAACAACAACAAGGTTTGATGCTGCAGGGCACTTTGGAGAGGGCTTCAGCTCCAGATCTGTAGGAGTGGATCCTGGGGCCGAGGGACCATAGGTCTGACTCTGTCCTCCTGACCAACCTGCTGTGCTGGGTTCAGGCAGCCACCTGCTCCTCGGGCTTGGCTCCCTTGAGGGCTGCACTGCTGTCAGAAACAGGAGGTAGCAGCTCTGTGAAAACTGTCACTGAGTTGCCCAGAGCCTGCACTCTTGCACCCTCTGGCTGTCTGGCTTTTCCTGCTGACACCTTGTCCCTGGCAGTGGGATTAAGGTTTGAAAAGAACTGTTTATCCCTGCCCCAGCCCAGCCTCGGAGGGATGATGGGAGGAGCCTCTGCGTGTTCTGGATCATGCCCTGGTTTTAAAGCTGCAGCGTGGACGCTTTGCAGAGGCCCACTCGCTGGGGCTGACTTCACCTCCACGATGCTAATTAAAGCTGTGCTGCAGTGTTGTCATTAAGGTAGTTGGCTGCTAACTGAAAGGTTGGTGGGAGAGTGACGAGGCAGTCTGCTTTTGTAAATACTTCCAGTCTTGGAGACCCTGCCCTGTCCTCTAGGGTCTCTGAGTCAGAATCATTGTGTGTGTGTATGGGGGGGGGGGGGGAACAACTACCCCAGATGTGTTTTCTCATGTTTGTTTCTCCGTCGGCTATTTGTAGAAATATTGTGAGCCCTGGTAGCCTAGTGGTAGGAAGCTGCGCTGTAGTCTAAAGGTACCTGGTTCAAATCCATCAGTTGTCTGCGGAAAAAGGATGGGCAGTCTTCTCCTGTGTGATTTACTGCGTCTGAACAACTGCTGGAGGGCTATTATGAATCGGTTCCAGCTCGACGACACCTAACAACATGTTAGAAAATCCACTTGTCCACTGAGTCCTTCCAGAGGGAAGTTTGAGTCCCATCAGGTGGAAGGAAAGGAAGCAGCAAGTCTGGGACAAGAAATGGGGTACAGACATCCCAAGTGAGGCCACAAGGCTGCCAGGAATTGGGGTTCAGCTGGGCTGTGGATTGCTTGACAGTTCCTTCCCGAGAGCTTGTCCGTCATATTTTGTCAGGATGTTGGGGTTCCGTTCCCAGCCTTTCCCTTGTCATCGGGGAACTGCGTGGATGTGGTTGAGGAGTAAGCACCTGGAGTGAGTGAATGACACGGCTGTAAATGTAGACAAAATGACCAGGTGCTGGCGTGGGCTTTAACATTCAGGAGAGAATGCTGGAGATATAGGAAAGGTTGTTAAGAGGTCAGGAATGAGTAGCTCTTTCTCATCTGTGCAGAAGGGCCAAGCAAGTGAAATGAATGTGCATGACAGCAGCAGAAACTCTGGTTAGACCTTGGGAGGGACTTCCCAACGGAAGAACTTGGCCTACACTCTTGATTGTTTTGCTGGACCCTGAAAGACATGCTGTTAGATCAGCAGTTCATGCAGAGGCCTGGGAAAGGCGAGGCCATGTCAATAAAGGTCTTTGAATCTTGCTCCCTCACCCACCCTGCTACCTGTTCCACCTGCAAGCCAAGTATCAGTGCCAACATTGCCTCAGCTCCTGGAGCCTGGCAGATGGCAAGTAGAGGAAAGATCCAAACACAATGGTTAGCTCTGTTGTTTAGGAGAGAATAGAGCTGTCTACAGCGCTTGCTTCAGTGCCGTTTAAAAATCATTCACACAAATGCAATTGTATAGTGTCTAGGTTTTTAAGTGGCTTCCACGGGCATGGAGGGAATGCTGTGTTTCATATTCATGCTGTGTGTCTCTGGTCGGTATTTACTGAGCACTTGCTGTGAGCACAGCACACACAGATGAGCTGGCATGTTCTGGCTTGATGCTGCCTGCAGAGAGAGGCTAGTCTGGGTTCTGTGGAACAAAGAACTAGTGAGACATAAGAGAAGAGAGACTGATGGACTTCAAGGTTTGGGCTCATATATTCATAGGGGCTGGAAAGGCCAAAATTTACAGGCGGATCAGCAGGCCAGACTCCTGCTGACTCTTAGGATGGTGAACTATTAAATCCCTAACCTGTAGCTTTGATATCAGGCTGGAGACTTGTGCAGGTTTGCCCTCTGGGATCTGTAGGTCAGATGAGGGGAAGGTGCAAAGCTGAGGGGACCTTCTGCCACATTGTCTGTGTATGACCTGGAGGGAGACCTTGAGGAAACCTCTCTTTTCAATTCAGTTCAGTCCCTTTGTGGGTGATGATTGCATTAGGTTACATTATGAGATGGTAACTAGTCCAGAGTTTGGGCAAATCGATGGGAATCCTAGCCTAGCCAAGTTAACACACAAAATTAACTATCACAGCTAGTTAACATGAGTTGAGAAAGACATACGTGCTATGTCTCCACAGAAGCGACCATGGCAGTTGCTGTAGCTTCTAGGAGAGACCTCTTGAAGAGCATTTAGCTTGACGTGTGGCTTCTGCAATGAATGACAGGGTGTGGACATGGTGGAGGGAACCAGGAGGGAATTCCAGAGAGAAGAAAAGGTGTCAGCAAACGTAGGCTTGAAGTCGGTGTAACTTGGAGGGGTTAACATGACAGTAGATGGTTGTGCGTTACCAAAGAAGTGAGGGGAGAGGATGCTGAGTGTGGGGATGCCTGTAGGCTGGGCTGAGATAGTGGAACACCTTACCAGCTTACCTTGTGTATCTTCTCTGGCTGTTTCATACAGGTCAAGTCCGTCTCCTTGTATCAGTCAGGATAGCTTAGACAGTACTGCTATAACAAAAAAGCCCATGACCTCAGAACTTAGAATAACATGCTCTGCACCAAACTTGATGGAACAGGTGCAACTCAACTAAGTCAGCCTGTGAAAGGAGAGAGACTTCTCACTCATCAGCATCGGAGTCTCTTTATTCTGAAAATTCCATCTCTAGCCAGAAGTAATACATACCACTTCTTAGCTTATTGACCAGAAGAGTCTCATGACCTCCACTCAGTCACAGGTACCTGTTTCTCTCCCTCTACCTCACTCTCTTTCCCTCCCTCCTCCCTCTCCTCTCCCTCCCTCCTCCTCTTCTTCTTTCTTCTTTTCCTCTTCCTCTTCCCCCTCCTCTTCCCCCTCCTCTTCCCCCTCCTCCTCCCTCTTCCCCCTCCTCTTCCCCCTCCTCCTCCCGCTTCTCCTCCCCCTCCTCTCCGTCCTCTCTTCCTCCTCCCTCTCTCCCTCCCCCCTCCCTCTCTTTCTCTTTCTTTGCCATCAAGCTGGTTCTGACTCATTGCTGACCTTCCAGTGGGTTTCTGTGGCTGTAAATCGAATGGGAAGAGACTCCCCATCTTTCTCCCTTGTGGTACCTGGTGCATCTCAGCTGACAGAAAAGCATGGCTTTGGGCTGGCAACACAGCTCCACTGATTGACTATACCCTCGGAGCTTTCCTATTGTTGTGGTGGTTGTGTACCATCAAAGCAAAACTGACCAGTAACTGACCCTCTGACGGGTTTTTCAGAGAGAGTTGATATCCTAGGAGGAGATTGCCCATCTTTCTCCTGTGGGGTGGCTGATGGATTTGAACTGCATGCCTTTGGAATTGCAATGCAGCTTCATACCACTAGGACATGAGACCTCCCTGGAGCTTCCCTATAGCCACACTAAAATGCTATATTCCTGGAATAAGGGGAAACAGAATTATTG